CGGCGGACCAAGAGACCAAAGGACCAGGGGACCAGGGGACCAGGGGACCAGAGGACCAGGGGACCAGAGGACCAGGGGACCAGAGCACCAGGGGCTCAGAACAGGGTCTACGGGACCAAAGGACCACGGGACCAGGGCCAGCCCTAACTCCAAAGCCCAAGCCGAGCCAACCCTAGGAAACAAAAAGCCTGGGACCCGTAGTAGTGGCAACAACAAAAACGAAACGATGACAACAGTCGTCATGCGCCAGCAATGAAGTATCGGAACAGAAAGAAATGCGCAACGACCATGACAAGGATCACCAGGGCAAGAGTGACCCGTCACCCATGCTAAATGTCCTATTACACGTGACATACCAACAACGGGGCAACAACTACAACAACAGCAGCACCAAAAACAGCAAAATGAACGATTATTGTTCATTTTTCAATATCTCATATCAATTTGTTCCAGTTAATAATTATCTAATATATTCTGTCTTATAACCCATTTCTCACCAAAAAGGACTGCACCAAGGACTGGCCTCTGCCAACTTCAGGCGAAGCAAATCAGCAGCCTCTGGAGAAGAACAGAAGATCATGGTGGCGCCTTCCAGAGGTTCTGGATCCTCTTTCTCTGCCTCAAGAACAACTTCAAGTTTTCGCGTCAGGGCCAAGGGCCTAGGATTTAGGGGTTCGACATTGGGGTCCAGGGCATAAAGTTATGGTTTTGGGTTTGGGGCCTAGGTTTCAACTTTCTCTGCCTCTGCAAGCACCCAAAAGAGCTTGGCATCCTTGTCGCCCTTGAAGTAGTGGAAACACTGCCTGCGTGTCAGCATCTGACATAACTTTCGATGAGGATGATCTTATGATAACACCTACAGGTCAAGTGGACAAGTCAAAGCTCCAAGCACACATGAACACCGTTTGTGCTCTGAGACTTAATTTGAGCCTCCTCTGCCTGAATGGCATACCAAATTGAAGCTTTAACCACACGGACACGAGCATTTTCAAAAACATTTTAACTGCAACCCGACTGCCTTAACGTGGGAACAAGGACTCCGACGTGGCTGACTGGCTGAGCCTTTGGAAAACGGCTCATGAGCTCCTCTTCGCGCTCATTGCTTAGGTGTGCCATGGCCAAGAGGAGCTGGCAATCCTGTTTACAGAGGATTTAGGATTACATACGGTCCGTTGAGGGTTTGCACTTAAGGTTTAGGATTGAGAAAATGGTGCGATATATCTTGACACACGCGATCCATTTCCGCCATCCGCGTGCAGAAGCCTACCGCCCCAGACCCACGACTAACTTACTGGTTCTTGATCGTAGGGAATAAAAGAATGCAATCCCTATATAACATATTCCTTAATCACCCCCAGTAAGTCACCCTGACCGACATTCCGAACCCGAAGCCTCGATCTCTGAGCCTAAGCCCGAAGCCTTCACGTAAAACTTAACACCCCGCGCAGTCAACGCCTGACCTCAAACCTTAAAGAACGCCAAATCAAGCCCAAAGCCGCCTTATCTGAAGTGCAGTCTGAAAGCACCACTTTTACACCTTAAACGCGTAAAGCAAGGAAAAATCAACTCCCCTACAATGGCCGTGCTAAGAACCTTACGCCAAACCTCCCAAACCCTAAGCCCCCAAATCTGAGCCCATAGACCTTAAAACCCCCGGACTTCAAAACCCCCCAACCCTTATACCCAAGCCGAAAAGCTAAACCTTCAAGCTTCATCCCTAAACCCTATATCCCAACCCTGAATAAGATTGACAAGCATCCGTGGCTGCCAAGATTTCCTCGGTCTTCATCCGCTCCTCGCCCAGTACGTCCCGACTGCCGGAGGAGGGAATCTTGGTAGTCGCTGGGTTTAGACTTTAGGGCATGTATGATCCAGGGTCCCCACCCCGCACCATCCCCCCCCCTTCCCCCATGGTCCACCCTCGCCCCAGTGGACCCTGTGGTTGTTGTGGTCTTGTTGTGTTGGCGCCCCCTGTGGTGCCTATGCTGTGTTGATGAGTATCCCCCCCCTGGTGGTCCCTGTGATTCTGGTGGTCGTGTCCATGTGGCTTTGCTCCTCCTGGGGTGGGATTTAGCTTTCGCGCGGCGCGCAGTCGCTTCAGTTGCAAGCCCTAACTCCTAAACCCTAATCCCTAAACCCTCCCTAAACCCCAATCCCTAAACCCTAATTCTAAACCCTAATCCCTTGATCTTGCGTCTAGGCGCGCACAAAAGAAGGTCTGCCTCATCGATAGCCAGCATGTCCTCAAAGCTGTCCAAAGCTTTCTTGATAAGGTTTGGGGCTTCAGGGTTTAGGATTTCTGGTTCAGGATTTAGGGTTTAGGGTTTGGGGTTCAGTAATTAGAGTCTGGGGTTCAAGGTCTGTGTGGGGCTACGGGTTTTGGGAAGAAACATTGGATCCCTCCAATCCCTACTGACACGCTCAGCAGCTTTAGGGCCTGCAGCTTGTGCCCTAAACTCTGAAACGAATTCAAGGGCTTCAGGGCTTGGATATTTTGAAGTTGCTGACTTCACTGTTTTAGGGTTCAGGGTTTGGAGCTTAGGGTTCCTTCCGGGTGTGTGAGTTGTAGTATTCAAACCTCTGGCCCTTCTTCAGAAAAAAAGAACCTTGTGCAAGCACAGAATGATATGGGTACTGCTCCCACTCAGTAACAGTTGGATACTAGTTACCATATATCTATATCAACCGTCCTTAATATTACCCCTATTGTAGACTCTTACTGTGTGAGGGCAGTACCCCAAAAATGAGCCATGGGTTCCCAAACTTTGAAGGTCCATCTACTTGGAAGTGGGAAGTGGCCCTAGCACCTGAAGAAAGTCAACCCTTCAGGCTGAAGAGTTCATGTTATATAGGAATGTTGCGTAGGGTTGAGGGCTTTGAAGTTTCAGGGGTTGAGGGTTAAGGGATTATCAGCTTATGGGTCTGGCCAAGGCCAGTGGTGTTATGGGCCTTGGGAGAAAAGCTCAGCACCCTTATCATTCATAGTGGGGCTCCTGGGATTTGGGACCACAAAGCTGAAGCCTTAAGTCTAAAACTGCCGGTACCACGGTTTGACCCTTTTATGATCTCAAAAACCCACCCTAAACCCTAAACCCTATCTACCCGACAGCCGGGCATCGACACCCTTGAGGTCGAAGTCTGCATGCTGATGGACCCACTGTGGCGTGCCCACCCAAAGCCTGGTCTTGAAGGGCTTGGGACCTTAGGGTTCAGGGTCCGGGCTTAGGTTCTGCATCCCCTCCCCCAAATTCAGGGATCTAACCTCATACTTTGGAGATGCAGATGGAAAAGATCATAGGAATTCGATGGAGACTGGGATTCTCTCGTCCAGGTAGGTTGTTAGAGGTTTAGCTTGGGATGATCACTAACATCCCAAACCCTAATCCCTGATCCCTAACATCATGACTTCTTAGATCTACCCCTGGGCCCCTCTCCAGAGCCCTTACACTGAAGATCTTTTTTCAGGGAACCAAAGGTTAGGGGTATGAACAAATGTAGCCCTAAGGCCTAAAACAGTAAACCTGAGACCCTCAGCCTCAAAGACCATATCATAAGACCCGGAAATCTCCCAACTATGAAGCCCCACACCCGAAATCAAGAAGCTCGTGCCCTACTAGACCAAATGTGAGATGAGCACTTCTTGGCGGTTGCACCAGGTAGGGCCATTTTCTTCTTTTGAAATCGTATACCCAGAACGAGGATGTCATCACACTCCCTATTTGAAGCCAGGGTATCCCCAAATAAAGATACATAGCACCCTAAACCCTAAGCCCAAATCAAACCCTAAACCGTGAGAAATTCAGTGTCCATGTCATTCTCCAGGTCACGGTCATTCTTTATGGGACCTTAGGTTTCTATATAAACCTATAGTCCCCCTGAAATAGATAGGGCTTGGGGTTTAGGGTTTAGGGCTATAGTCCCCCTTTTGCAGATAGAATATGGGGTATATGGGGATCATATTCTAATACCCAAAGCCATATTCGATCTACTTAGGGGACTATAGACCCTAAGCCCTCACTATCCCTAAGCCCTACCACTCTGAACAGCGGTCCAAGGGCTCTGGGGTCATAAGAGAACTCGCAATTTTCACTTCCTGGTCCATCCGCCTGCCGTCTTTCTCGACGTAGGGTAAGGGTTTGCGGATTTAAGGCAGAAGGTGTACTTAAGGATTGGGATTTAGGATCCGGCGTTTAGTCCGGCATTCGGTGGTCTATGCCTTAAAGTTCCCTTCGACCAAGGTTTAGGTCTAGGGAGCCGGGCTTGGGGCGGACTTTCAACTCAAAGGAATCTGTTTCAGGGTTGATGGAGATCCCTTTTTAAGGATGGGGCGGGGGTGATGCGTTGTGAAGCTGCAACTTGGCTTCCGGAGCCCCAAGAAGGCCCCAGCATTGGCCGAAAGGATGGTGACTGGCTACTTTTGAAAAGCTTCTGGCTTATCCCCGTGGCATTCATAACTAGTATTGCGAACTTGGTAGGGTTTAGGGTTTAGGGTTTGGGGGGTTCCGGTACAAGTATCCAAGGAAGTATCCTAGGGGGATTGGGTACCTCGCCTTCAGCATGCCGTAGCTAGCGGTAACACGTCACACCCTTTCAGACTAATCTGATGTAAGCCTGTAGCAAGTGCACAACATCAGAATCGAAGGGGCCCAGGGCCTTCGCCCCTGATCACTCGTTCCTGAATGTGAGCCAGAACTAACAGGAACCACGCACAACGCATCATAATGTACCCTAAGCCCTCTTAAGACTATACCCCGCGCCCTAAGCCGCAGATCCCTACCCATTTTAGTCCCACACAACGCTAACAACACTATATAATCTACAGCAATTCATAAGAAAGATAAGTCTTGGGGGCTTGCCAAATGCGTTTTACACAGACATGTAGGATAACAGGACAACGTAACTATGCATATATGTATTGTGTGTATATATACATATATAAGTGTGTGTGTGTGCGTGTACCATGTATTAAAGGTATATGCAATCTAGGAAGTATTGCAAAAAGGCTTGACGTACAGTTTGGGCGTGTTAATTCGGCTGTTACATAGTTTATCAAAAACACAGGCCCCATGGCAAACCGCTCTCTATTCATTCGCGGTTCTGGCTTTCCATATTCCCCACTCTGGTGCCCCATTCGTGATATCCGTCTATCCTAGGCTACATAGTTTGCATGACACCAATGCTGCGCAGCTCTGATGTTTTTTCTTGTCAAGGGATCGGCGCATGCATGAAGTCCTCGCGCGCACTTGAATTACCAATTGCAACATGTCAAAATGCAAGCCTACTATAGTTGACTGGGGAATATGTAAGGATCTAAACCATCTAGCCAAGAGGCAACAGACTTACACCCACACAATGTGAAAACGCCATGAAACCCAAACAAATTAACAAGGCCTGCAGCGAATTAGTGTGCAACTGCATGGTGGGCTTCACAAGGGATTCAATGCCTGACTGTCATTGACTGCGTCACTAAGCCGATAGCGGTGTACAGCAGTCTTTGGGCGATATGTGTTGCCTACCATGCAGAGCATGCTACCTTGCCATCCTTGCTCTGGCTCTCGCCAGGCCGCCGCCAGCTGCAGCTTCCTGGCGTTGGCGGAAGCTGGCCATGGCAGCCAGACCGCAGCTACAGGCCTCCTCGGCTGCCAAATTGCCAGAACACTCCACTTGAGAAACACCTATTGGTGTATGTGCCGTATGACCTTTCCCAACTCCAAAGGCTTGGTCTCCTCACTTGCCTGAGCTACTGTCAGCATAGCAAGCCTTACGAGATTGCAAGTTGTGAGATTAAGAAATGCTGGCAAGTTGCGCGCTTGCCTTGGCGTGCTGGGCATGATGTTGGGTGGCCCAGGGAGAGGACGTGGTCCAGTATGTCCTTTATGACACTTCGCGGGACGGAGTTGCCCTGGCAATGCCACGCAGACGTCCGCTCATCTGATATCAAATGCTATGTTGTGGGCTCCGAACCTTGCGCTTGAAATGCTTGGCGTCAGGAGCTTCAATGACTGCTCTCTTGCAGCAGTCCCGTCCCGCGGATTGCAAGTTTTCAAGTGTATCGGGATGAGCATCAAAACCAAGACGGTCATTGGCAACTCAACCCATTAACCTTCCGGCACAGAACTTTCTAATGTAGACGGCCTTTGGATCGAAAGGCCATGAAGTGTGGAGGTTGCTAGGGCCTTGGATGATGCTCTGACAGTCTGACATCAAAACTGGTAGATGTGCAGCTCTCTGCTTGTTCTGTACTTTCTGCGATCAAAATTCGGAACAGCTGTCTCGCCTTGCCCTCCACAAATGTCTCCCCGGCGACTCGCATGTCGATTAGGGCCATGGGACGTCTGTCCCTCAGCATGTCTAGGCACGCTTTGCACTGTGCACTGGTGGGGTTTTCTCTGAGCCAGACGCTCTCCATCGCGGCCTGGGAGACGCACCCACTCCTGGCCCAACTGCATGTTTTAGACTTTGCGACTGGCGGAGAGAAATCCTATGGGCAAAACGACAGAACCAATACCCAATTGGCTGTATCCACAATACGAAAGTTATGTGACTTCCCCCATTCTAGAGCGCAATATCGAGTACAGTGTGTGGATGCACAGGATGGCTCGGCAGGTACGATGCCCAAGAGAACAATGAGTAAAGTGCGTCTGACAGACTCCATGCAAATCCAAAATCAATCTCACATCACTTGGGGGATTCCCAAAAAAGCGATCTCCATAAAATGGAGAGGGGGATGATCGAGTACGTTGTTCCTGCAGCAGTGGCACATGTAGCAAATGCTCCGCCATGTTCACATGTGTCGAGCGGAGAACCTGATGACCATGACACGTGAATGCACAACACGTTGCCGAATGAAATCGTGCTGTCTTCACGCGGCTTATCGGAAGCAGCGCCGAACAGTCGACCGAGACTTGCTTAAGTAATCACAGCCGTACAGGTCAGAACTGCTTCATCCTCCTGTAGCTAAACGATTGCTTGTGGTATGTTACACCCAGGCAGACGCCTGCCTCCCCTTCGTGGAAAGTACAAGCAGGGTGACCTGCATCAGGATGAGAGGGCTTTCGACCATGATGAGGTTACGTAAAGAGTCTACGGGTAGATGCTCTACAAGGAGTAGTGGCCTGTGTCTTGGCCGTAGTGCCACGTGCCACACGCAGCAAAAATGTCCGCGGCCTTCAACATCTTCCACACAATACTGGTCAGGTACCCCGGCTGGCTTCTTCTGATGGGTCGTGACTGGTTTCCCTGACTCCAGGACGCCGCAAAGAAGCTTCTTGATGCGCTGGCCGCTGCGCAGCTGGGCGATGATGGCGTTGACGCGGAACCTTGGCCCGCTGCCCCTCCACAGCTCAATCCCCAACCACACTTCCCTTGCCGGGCAGCTTCTTCAGTTCCCGCCTCATGGCCTTGAACTGCGTGGCCGGCCTGTGCAGCTCAGGAGCAAACCAGGGAACACAGGCCACTTGATATGAAAAACTCTGAACCTCAGCAAGCTCCAGCCCGCCTTCATAGAAGCGCGGAAAAATACCTCGACAGATGGTAACTGTCCAAAGGGCTGCTTGCAGATTTTACCCAAAAGACATCTTGGCTCTGGACGCTGCGAACTGGCATCTTTCCATGCCACGCATGGAAGACAAGCGGCGCTAAGCTGCTAAGGCCGATGCTCCATAGCCTGTCTTGCTGCATGCGCAGGGCCAAGAAAGTCTGCCATCACTACACCGGATCAAGAGGGCTCGGCGATTGCCCAGGATCTAATAATCATGGGCCAAAAAGCAGGCACTGGAGCTTGGCAGCATGCAGCTGGGATCCTTAGACTTGCCCCGCCCTCTTTTGGTGCTACCAGCATGGACGCACACTGGCTTTGAAACCAAGCTTTTGCCGGGAGTCGCAGGTCCATCAGGGTAGCAGCTTGGATGGAGCCTGTTGACGCCCAGCAAAAGAAACCCTAATCGCAGTGTTGCCAACTAATTGCTGGAGAAGACCCTTGCTGAGCGAAGGGACACAGCGCAACCATGAAAGCTTCGCCGAAAGACACCACCCTGCAAAGCACCTGAAAGCAGCAAAGCAATGCTTCCTGCCAGTGCTTGACGCACACATATCGACTAATGGGACGCAGCCTCTCCAAAGTGCCTTCCAGAGAAGATCCAGACCTTAGCAACAGACATGCATCCTTGCTTGCGCCAGCTACTACGGCGACGGTAGCTTTCATCGGGAGCTCTGACAATCTCAAGCAGACGAGAATCGAAGGCCGCTGCTACAGCCCAAAGGCCCGGATGCATTCGGTTCTGAAAGACGTAGTGGCAGCCGGCCTGGTACACGGCCCGCCATCAGGACTGTTCACATCATGCCGTGTGCGGTCTCAGAACCCTTACAAAACGGTGAAACTGCCATTGTGGCACAGCGACATTGGAGCAGGCGATCTGCGCTGGCCCGTCCGCGAGGTGAAGCATGAGTGCTGGCTTTGGAAGCAGGCGAAGCTTTGAAAGCAGCTTGAGCGCAAATGGCTACATGGCTGACGGTCATGGTATGTCAGGGTGCCGCGTTGCGCCTGCAGCTGCCCAAGACATGACGCACGATGGTAACAGAAACTGAAACGCTCGGCCGCATTTGCCATTTGCGTCGCTGGGCTTCTCATGAATCCTACCTACACAGCCGTGCCTGGTTGTCTGAAATGTTTTCCAGCTTTAAGTCTTCAAGTGCCTCAACGAGGCTCAGACTCACGCAAGACGAGTATGGCGGGAGATGGTTTCACGCTGTTCAGTTCACGTACGAACCCACGTTCCGACAGCGCAACTGCTTGTGGTAACACTTTCCAGGAAAGTACTTTACCAATTTTGCTTTGCAGACTGCTCTACCAATTTCGCTTTGCAGACTGCTCTCTACTTGGAGAGGCTTAGTTTGTTTTATGTAAACAAATCAAATTCTTTAGCTTTCAGCAGCTGGGAAGCAATTCCAAAACGCATTCTCGTTTTGGTGGGGCGGCGGAGTCGGGATCCCATGTGAATATGTTGTTACCTATGTCGCAACATGTCCAGACTGGCACTGAACCATTGCACATCCCTGCTCCTACACGGCCACTTGGGGCTGCAGCAGCCTGTAAGAGGGCAGGTGGGTGGATGGCTTTTCAATGAACTCAGCATATTCTGCCAACCCAAGGCAAAGCTACAAACTCACAATCATTGGAAACTTTCTGTACCTGCGATGATTTGTTTTGTCGCATGCGTGCAGTATGGTGCTGGGGGCTCGAGCGCACAAGCCTAGTTCTATGTGCGCCTTCTACCCTATAGACCCTATAGACCCTAAATCCTAAACCAACCTATGCTCCAGACCCTAAAACCTAAACCCTGAAACCGAAGCTCCAGACCGTAAATCCTAGGCCTAGATCCTAGCAACCCTCAATCCTATACCCTGGACCCCAGCCTAATGCCCCCCTAAACCCTTAACCACAACACCCCTAGTTACTATCATTATTACTACTATGCAGGACCCTTCTTGTACCTTTAAATAGAAGTTTTTGGTACCTTATAGTGGCTATTTCGGGTAAAAAAAGGTAGGAGGGCCCAGGATTATAAATTTAATTACTACTATCATTCCTATTACAACTAGCGGTAAACCTCCAGGACCACAACCCTAAACCTTAACCCTAGACCTTAAACCCTGAACCCTAAACCCTAACACCAAAACCCTAAAACCCCAAAATCCTAAGCCCTTAAACCCTGAACCCTAAACCCTAAAACCCTCAAACCCTGAAACCCGAAACCCTAAACCGCCTGAGTTGAAGCGGCTGTTTCAAATGCACCGCCAGCTTTTCAGCCAGAGCGGAAACCTGAAGCGACAGCTGCTCCGTGGGTGCCAGGATCATCCCATACCTTCCTGAAGTGGTTTAAGGGTTTAACGGTTTAGGGTTTAGGATAGGGTTTAGGGTTTAGGATAGTGTTTAGGGTTTAGGGTTTAGGATAGGGCTTAGGGTTTAGGATAGGGTTTACACTTTAGGGCTCAGATTGGGGTTTAGGGTTGGGGTTCGGTACCTTCCTGACGTTGGCGGTTTGCTGGGTTGATGTTAAGGAACTTACATTAAGCTAGCAAAAAATTGGGTATATGATACATAATAGAGTTTCCTTGCTATAGTGATTACTAAACCCTAAACCCTAAACCCTAAAACCCTAAACCCTAAACCCTAAACTAAGTTCCTTACGAGCAATTCAGTTTGGGGTTCTATGGTTCAGGTTTGCAAGGTTAAGTTTTTTCTGCGTTTACGTTTTAAAGATTCAAGGCTTCCTGGATTAAGGTGTTGAAAGTTTAGGGTTTTGCGGGTTCAGGTTTTATGGGTTACCCTAAACCCTAAGCCCTAAACCCTAGACCCTAATTTAGGGTTCGAAGCCTTTTTGGACCCAATGCTTTCGATAGTTTCTGGTTTGAGGCTGACAGACTCATCCCCAGAGTACCAAAGAAACCTCGGATGGCCAACCATCTACGGTTTAGGGTTTAGGAAGTTTAGGGTTTAGGGTTTAGGAAGTTTAGGGTTTAGGGTTTAGGAAATTTAGGGTTTAGGGTTTAGGAAGTATGGGCCCCTAATATGGGCCCTTGGGCCTTTTAGGGGGATTCTGGGTGCCCTTAAGGGTACATATAGGGTATAGAGTAGGTATATAAGGATCCCAGGGTTAAGGGCCCATACTAGGGGCCGACCATCGTAGTAGAAAGCGGCTGTTTAGGCATATGTAGGGCTATTTAGGATGCATAGGGATAGGTAAGGATAATTTGGAAATATTTCATCAGAAGCGCCCCCCTCTGGGTTGCTGTTCCGGAGCTCACATGAACTTCTCATGATAACAAAGCCCTTCTTCTTACTACCTGTCCATATCACAGTAGCTTCTAGATACAGCTTCATCACAGCAACCCTTCAGAACGAGGCAGCGGACGGCTCAGTCAGCAAACCTGGCCAAGTATCTGCTCACGGATCCTTGAACCCCTCGCTCTGTCAGTTTTTGGAGGATGGGCAGAAGGAAGGTCAATGTCTTGCCAGAACCAGTCTGCGCCACTACCATCAGATCACGGCCGGCAAGCGCCAGCGGAATAGCATTTGCCTGAGCCACGCTGAAATCCAAATCGTGAACTCTATACACGAAACCCCTCAATCCCAACCCCCCTACCCTCAACTTCCATATGCCTAACTTTACCTTCCACCCCTCACCCCAAAACCCCCATACCCAGAAACACCTGAATCGCGTTGGGCAAGAAGATGTCCACGGAGCGCAAACCCATCACCAGCTCCGTCCGTAAAAAGTCGGAAAAAGCAGCATCTGAGTGCATCTTCGCCATGGCTATGAGGAGAATTACGAGGGCCCTTTTACAAGGATTCTAGGGATGCATAGGGCTTAGGGCTCATGGATTTCAAATACTTGCTGGCTTTTAGCAGGGAATGGAAGATCACATGGAAAGCAGGGGCTTGTAGGGATATATGTATATATAAAGCCTCTATGTATAAATATACATATATATATTCATATATATATATTTATATACGTAGAGGCTTTGGGTTATTTTGCTGGTTGTTAGTAAGGAATGGAGGAAAGAAAACAAACTATCTTACAAATTTGGACAGGCTCAGGTGTTCAGGGTTTTTGGGTGTAGAATTAGGGGGACCCCAATATAGACCCCAAAATAATGTAATCCTTACTAAAAGGATCCTCCAAATGGCAAAATGGTACCCCTAATTTTGGGAACTGTCTCCTCCGCCCACCTAAACCCTAAACTCCCCATTTGAAGCGTTCCAGGATTTCGTCAGGCTTGCTGTCTTTGAGGCTCAGAGCTTTCAGCACTTGCAGGCCTTACCTCACAAGACGCCTAAACAAGAGGGTTTAGGGTTAGGGTTCAGGGTTTAGGGCATCAGCTATATGCTGCGTCTTTGGTTTGGGGACATTGCCTGAAGTTTAGTTTGTTGTGTACACGCTACGAGAAGGTCTCTGGTGACCTTGAGCAGAGACGATGTTCAGTCTTAGCGGATTTCCTTTGTGGATTTAGGTGATCCTAAACCTAGCCCTAAAACCTAAATCCTGTACCCACGACTTTTCGTGCAGTTTGGGCTACCTTCTCACAGCCATGAATACAGAAAATTGCCACAAAGGGCATGATGTATGGCTAAGGGCATGTTGGTGCAAAAAAGCTTGGATGCTGAGGCCTCGGCACCGCAGTGATCAGACCAGCTGGGTATCCTCAAGGACAGTCGACCGCTCGGGGCACACGAGGAGATCAGGATCACCAAGCCGGACTGGGCCCATGTCTCCCAAGCTGTGATGGAGTGTTGGGCTTTTGCTGGGAGCTTGGGCAGCAGCCTCTGAAACTGGACCAGGGTGAACGATTCTGAAAACCAAGCTCTGGAGCCCGTCTCATCTTCAAGGAGGCCCGTATGTACTATGAATCACCGTTGCAAGCCGATTTTAAGAGTCAAAGAGGCAAAGGTGAAAAATCCTTGAAGCAACTATCCCCTGGGAGTAGGATACGCAACCCAAGCCCTCGGGTGTTCCCGCGAATCTCTTTGAAGCATAAACCCTACACCTCGCGTTAGCAACCATTACCCAGGAGGATGAATCCTGCTAGGCTCCCACAAGCACCTGCGGAGCTAGACCCCAAATTCTAGTAGTTTCCATGTTACTTTCCATTCTCCCGATATATAACCCCAATATACTACAGTAGTTTCCATTGTGTTTTCCATTATCCCTATATACACCCCCAATGTACTACAGTAGTTTCCATTAGTTTGCCATTATCCCTATATATATGTATATAACCACACTATACTACAGTAGCTTTCATCTCTATACAAAAGAAATATCCCGCTATGTGACAAACACCAACTTCATCCCCCTTCACAGGTCGGCAACTTACTTCAGAGCTGAAACAGAAAAATCCCTATAACCCACTTTTTTCATTTCATTTCCATTGGGGTTCATATAACCCCCCTAGGCACAGCATTTAGCAAAGTCACCCTAAACCCTAGACCCTAAATAGTAGTTTTCATTTTCTTTTTCTATTATCCCCATATAACCCCTATATAACACCTTCATAACAGCAAGCCTTGCGGCATGTTGACCATTTTTGGTGTAGCGCTCGCAGATCAAGCCTTCCAGTCCCCGTTGCGACGCAGTCTACAAAGAGCGATCTTGTTGCGCTCTGCGAGAAACTCCATGTGAGCCATAGACTAAACTCCTAGAATCCCACTTAATAACCCCTATAGTAGTTCCCTATATAATCCCCTATATAACCCCCTGAAGGAGTTTAGACTATGGCTCATGTGTCCAAGAAGGTTTCGCCATACCCCTCCCCAGCTCGCCAGGGCTTCTGAGAGACACTCTGGAAAGCTTAAATACCTGCGGGGTATCTGCCTGGGGCATGTTGAAGACTTCTCGGACCTCTGTACAGAACATGTAATTAACCCAGATGGCATTTGGTACCACCCTCAGCAGGAGAACCACCATGGATGCAAACTACATGCCAACTCAACCGCAAGAGGTATCCGCGAGGAAAGGAAGCCCAGGTCTCCCTTAAGGGCTGAAGGCATGCACCACGAACGTTTCTAAGCTATCACTTAGGTGGACCCCCCCGCCCAGTAATAGTGACTATTATGGACAATAAGGATTATATTAGGGTCCTCTTATATTCTATTATACCACTATTACAGGGTGGGGGTCCTTCTAAGCTATCACCATCGCCGTGCGCACCTCACAAGCATGCCGCAGCTGACATCTCCTGCGGGCAGGTGCTGCAGCAAGTGTGCCAAGCCAGCTGAAGCCCCAAGTGGAGCTTAAACCCTGGCATGTCAATGCAGAGAAATATACACATATATATATATATCTATATATAGATATGTATAATCAATATAACCACCCATTTTCCATGTCATTTGCGATTTCTTTTCCATCTAATTCTCCATTATTGGGGTTCATATAACCCCCCTAGATACAGCATTTGTCTCTGGCCCAAACTGATGGCACGCAGACGTGTAAGAGACCCGAAAGCCTGCCTGCCGCCACGGGATTCACTGATCGCCTGCAGCAGAACCCTAGAACCCCCTAAAGGATCCAAAAAATGGAGCCCCCCAATATGAACCCATTACTACATTGGGGAAACTAGGGGATTATTAGGGGGTTCCATTTTTTGGATCCTTTAGGGGGTTCTGGGACTTGGTGGCACAAGGCTACACCTTTCTACCCATGATCCGGTGTGTGAACGTTGACGAGAGCCCTGGAACCTGGTGAAGAATGCTACTTCACAATGCTGGGTTGGTGCGAAGAAGCTTGAATTCAGATACCGTAATGGGTATATATATATATATGTATATATATATATTTGTTGTGAATAATGTCGTTTCCCCTGTGGTTGTTTCAATTAAGTTCCTTAACAGCAACCCAGAAGGCCTGAGACCATTGCCGGCTTCCTGTGGGGGGTTCAAACCCTGCTTGCTGCCCCCCCCCGCCTTTCTCTACAAGGGGCACGTTGCCATCCGTCTACTTGAAGCTCAGGCATCGGCCCCAATGGGATGACGTGTCTGGGTCACTTTGTCATGCTTGAAAACAGGTCTCCTTACTGAATTCTTGTTGTAGAGCAACATGCTGCGCAGTGTTCGAGCACACAACGCAGCTATGAATAGGAACAATATCAAGAATAAGGCCATGGAACCCTTGTGATCACAGTGATGCTACCAGAATGGAGTTCTATATCTTTACAAACAGTGCTTTGCTGTAGTGACATAACAAGATGGTCAAATAGAACGTGCCTGGAAACATGCGGATTACAAACCTTAAAGCCTAAAGCACCTGACGCATAACTACACCAAAAAAAACAGAACCAGAAACCTGAATCCTAAACTCTAAACCCTCGGCATTGAAGTCTAGACCCCAAAGCCCTAATCCTGACCTCTGAACATGGAAACCTTAACTGGAACCTAGCACCCGAACCCCCTTATCCCTGAACCCCAGTTTGGTGAGTGGACTCTGGCTTCTTGTCCCGACCCTAAATCCAAGCCTGCAGCTGACATTACTTGTGCTTTAGCTGCCGTCCTGCAGGGCCAAAGCAAAGTAGACCCCCTATCCCACGATAGGATTAGCCCAGGTTCGGGGTTTAGGCTTTATAGGGTTAGGGCTTAGGCTGTTCGTGCAAGGCTACACCCTATGGATTGGAATGCGTATTCTTGCTTGAAACTTACCATTCACTGCTCCTAATCCCAAGGCTCGTAATCTTTAAACACTGTGTATGTCTACCATTACTGCTCGAGGGCACTTTTCGCGTATTGGACTCAGTGCATTGCAGCTTGCAGCTTTTCGAAAAAGAATCTGTCGTCCTTCTCGTGTCTTTGTACAGCTGTGGGTAGCAGTGTTTTCCTCTACATGCCATGGTGACGCGCGTGCACATTCCTCCTGCAACCTTCTGAACCCGCAAGCCGCACGCACTACAGAAACCCCAATCGCTTTCCATATGGGGATTTCTCAACATAGAGGTGCCCTTCACAAAGAGATGGGGGTATGGGCATCGTGAGTATAGGGGTCCCGCATCAGGAATTAGACAGGGATTTTTTAGGAGCCCCCCACCCTGTAATAGTCGCATAAGAGGAATATACGAGGACCCCTATACATTAATCACTATCCCTTAGAGTTACTATCACTGGGTGGGGGGTCCACCTAACCCTAAATCCTAGGCCCTAAATAGTAGCTTCCATTTTCTTTTCCATTTTATAACCCCAATATACACCCTACTATAACCCTAAAATATACCCTAAGGTTTAGGGTCCATTCCCCAAGATTCTTCTGAACAACTCTGATGCAAACCCTTCAGAACCAGAATTGAAAAGGTTGAAGCCTAACCATCCCAGAAGGGTTTAGGATTTAAGGTTGAGATGTGAGGGGGGGTTGGGGTTTAGGGCTTAGGTGGGAGGGGCTTTGGGGGTTTGGAGTTTAGGTGGGTTCAGGCCTTAGGGTTTAGGGGGGTTTGGGGTTTAAGGGTTCAGCGGAGTTGAGGGTTGAAAAGGATCCCATATCTCAAGACCATGTATTTCCTGAGAAATGCCCCTGCAAGGCCCCAAGGGTTTAGGGTTTAGGCTTTAGGGCAACTATACTTTGAACGGGACCCATCATACATCCTCGGCATCAGACTTGGAGCCCCAAACCCGTAGCATCAGACCCCATATCCCTCCACCCCACACTCCCCCCAAACCAGCGTGGGTTCCCCCGAAAAGTGGCATACATACTTCTGTCATGTTAAGGCCCTAGATGAGCTATAGTCTAAACTCCTAGTATCCCCGTTAACAACCCCTATAGTAGTCCCCA